TCAGAGTGCCAGCGACAGCCCTCATCTGCAGGTTTGAGTCCACAGCCTCCTTCCTCTCTGTGGTCCCCTTTCCCAGCTTTTGTCTGGTGTCAGATGCCTGGTTTCTTTTCCTCTCATGTCTTCTTCCTTCATGATTTGCAAACTGAGTTTCGTGCAGAACATCTCCTGTGAGCTTTATGAAAATGGTATGTGGGAGCAAATCTTTTCAAAAATAGTATCTTGGGGCAGGAGAGATGGCTCAGCAGTTAAGAGCACTGGCTACTCTTGCAGAGGTCCTGGGTTCAATTCCCAGCACCCATATGGCAGCTAACAACCATCCGTAACTCCAGTTCCAGGGACTCCAACACCTTTATGACTTCCATGGGCATTTCATGGCATGGGTGCACTTACATATATATAAGCAACATACTCGTACACATAAAAAATATAATATTTTTATTCTTTGAAAATTTCATACAGTATATTTTGATCATATTCACCCCACTCCTACCCCATCTCTTCTCGGATCCACTCCCACCTCCCCACCCCCTTCCAACTTGGTGTTCTCTCTTTTTTTTCAAATAGTCCACTGCGTCCAGCTTGTGTTCCCTGTATACTCATAGTAAGGGGCCATTCACTGGAGCATGGTCAACCTACCAGGGGTTACACCCTTAAACAAAACAGACTTTCCCTTCCTCTAGAAGTCATCAACTGTTAATAGCTCCCCAGTTAGGGGAGGGGGCTTACGAACACCCCCCCATACTGGAACGTTGATTGACTTGATCCTATGCAGCTCTTGTGCAGACAAGCACAGATGTTGTGAGTTCATGAGTGCAGTGGCCCTGCCCTGTCTAGCAGGCACAGTTTTGCTCCAGTCCTCCCTGACCTCTGACTCTCAACAATCTTCCCACCCCTCATCCGAGATGCTCGCTAAGCCTTGTATGTGTGTGGGTGTGTGTGGGGGGGGGTGGGCATATAGATGCCTCATTTGTGTTTAGCATTCTACTGACATTTAATCTCTGTGGGAGCAAATCTTAAAGACATATTATGACTAAATTGACATCTTATAAATACCATAATACTATAATAAGGGCTCTGAGAAATATGAAAAACCATTTTTGCCTAGAGTTTATAGAATAAATGTACAAATAAGAAACCTGCATGATACTATCAGAATTTAGTTTGCAACTAGATCCTAATTCAAGAACTTTTCCAGAATGCATATGTTCAATTCCTATATAAGGAGGAACACCAACTTTTTATAAACTCAGAATAAGGAAACCTAAATGGGAAGGAATATTCTCAAAGAGATAGGTTCTAAGCTTTGAAAGATCAGTATGATTTTGTTAAATGGAGATGGTAGGAAGAGTATTTTATTTCTTTAAATGCTTTATTTTATTTTATGTTCTGAATATATTGCCTGCATGTATGTAAGTGCACCTGCATGCAATGCCCACGGAGGTCAGAAGAGGGTGTGTGGTCCCCTGGAACGGGAGTTATGGATGCTGGGAACCAAACCCGAGTCCTCTGCAAGAGCAGCCAGTGTTCTTAACTACTGAGCCATCTCTCCAGCCCCTTTTTATTTTCTTTTTTGAGACGGGATCTCACTATATAGCCCCAGCTGACCTCAAACTCACTGTATAGACCAGGCTGGCCTTAAACTTACAGAGATCTGCTTACCTCTGCCTCATAAGTATTAGGATTAAAGGCACGTCCACAATGTGCCATTTTAATGTGGATATAAAATTTTTACATGGTCATACCATGAAGAATATTGTAGAAAAAATGAAATGTATTACTTGAACCTGAAGACAGTGTGGGAGAAAAGTAGAAGATGAAGTTGGAAAAATAAATTGTTGATAGACTTTAGAGGACTCTATATTCTAAGTGGGGCAATTGGGGCTTATTTTCTAGATTTACAAGACTAGAGAATATTTTAGTAAGTAAAGGCTGATATGATGATTACACCACAGAGTGCCATATGAATGGAATCACAGTCTGTAGTTTTTTGTGTCTGGCTTGTCACTTAGCAGAAAGCATTTGAGAACCCATCCATGCCTCTGAATCTAATTTGTTCTGGTTACTGAGTAGTATTCTATTGCTTGCATGGAGCATAATTAACTCTGCAGTTCCCATGTGGGTTGTTTCTAGTTGGAGGCCATTGCAAATACAGCTGCTACACATGCTTGCATACAGACTATGTGGACATGTGTTTGCACTTGTCTTGAGTGAATACCTAGGGTGGATTACTGGCTGGTATGCAAGTGCTCTACCATTCTATAGTCTTGCCTGGAATGAATGGAGTTGCCATCCTGCATTCTCACCAGCACTTGGCATGTTTTCCTCAAGCCAAAGTGGGTTCTCATTCTGTCTTGAAGGTACATTTCTTTTTGTTTTTTGATTTTTAAAAATTTATCTTATTTTAGGGGCTGGAGAGAGGGTTCAGTGGTTAAGAGCACGGGGTGCTTTTGCAGAGGATCCAAGTTTGATTTCCACATGGCGGTTCTGTAACTCCAGGTCCAAGGGAATCTGGTGCTCCCTCTGACTTCCATGGGCTTTGCATGGCATGGGTGCGCCTACATGCAGGCAGTACAGTAATGCCTACATGCAGGCAGTACAGTAATGTACATAAAAATAAAAATAATCTTAAAAGATTATTTTATTTTAATTTTTTATATTTTGTATGTGTATGTGTGTTTTGTCTGCATGTATGTAAGTACACCACATGTGTGCAATGCCCATGGAGTCCAGAAGAGGGCATTAGGTCCCCTGGAACTGGAGTTACAAACCGTTGTTAGCCACCATGTGGGTTCTGAGAACTGAATCTGGGTCCTCTGTCAGAATAAACAGTGCTCTTAACTGCTGAGCCATCTCTGCAGCTGTATTGAAGCCTATGTACATTTCTAATGACTAGTGATGCTGAGCTATTCCTGCAGGCAAAACCCTCATACATGTAAATTAAAAATAAATAAAAAGAATTTTACACAGAATTTTAATACTGAAAAATACAAATAAGAAAGTAAGCTGTCTTAACTTTCAGTATTTTATTTTATTATTTTATTTCATTGAGACAGTGTACGTATCCATGCTTGGCTTTGTATTCCCAATGAAGTCCATTTTGGCCTCAAATTCATGACAATCTCCATCTCAGGTGTCTGCCATTGTGCCCAGGAGAATTACCTTTTAATTTTAATGTTCTAGGCATTTCTCCTTCTTTGAAAAAAATTACAGACAGGACAAAAAGGAAGATGGAAGATTAATAGATTGATGAGCTAATGGATGGATAGCAAAAATGTATAAATTGTATAAAAGAGATCGTGTTAGACATGTTAACTGTGTTACAGTTTGTATGCTGTGACATTCACCCTCATGAAGCATACTGCTTGGTAGCTTTTAGTGTATCCACCATATTATACAAACATCACACTTAGTTTTAGAAAAGTTAATCCCCCACCCCAGATATCCTTTATTCAATGATACAACAGTCTCCACTGGACCAGCCTCTGAACAAATAATCTGATTTTTCTCTTTGTGGATTTATCTGTTTCATAAATTTTTTTATGAGTGGAATCTCACAGTGTATGGCCTTGTGTTTTTGATCCGTTCTCTTGGCACAATGCCTTCATGGCGCTTGCATGGTAGACTATATACCAGTACTTTATTCTTTTTATGACTGAATAATAGTTCATATATTACTATAGAGTACTCCACAGTTCAGTTCTTCCTTCAACTGATGGGCTGTGATTTTGTTTCTATTTTGTGGCTATTATGAACAATGCTGTTCTAAACATTTGTGCACAAATATTTTTATGGGCATATAATTCCAATTTTCTTGGGTTTAAATACTTGGGGCCAGAATTGTTGATGTTTTTTTTAAATTGAGAATTAAAATTTTATTTATTTGTGTGTCTAAGTGTGTATGTTTGTCTGTGTATCTGTGTGGAGGCCAGAAGAGGGCAACCCTCAAAGCTGGAGTTACAGGCATTTGTGGGTTACCTGGCTTGATATGTGGGTCCTGGGATACAAACTCTGGTCCTTGTAATTATACATCAAGTGCCCTTAATTGCTGATCCATCACTCTATCCTGGTACCCATTTTAAAAATTGATTTTTTATTTTCTTATTATGGAAATTTGAAGCATATTTTAAATGTTAAATTTATAGGTGTGTGTGTTTTTGTATTGCAAATGACCCTATGTGCTCTAATTTTGATGTAGAATTAAAGATATATTCATTTAATATTTAATATTTAACTTTTAGTGTGTATGACTGTATTGCTTGTATGTAAGTGTACCTGTGTCATGTCATACAATACCTGCAGAGGTCAGAAGAGAGTGTTAAATTCTTCTGGAACTGGAGTTACCAACAGTTGTTGTTAGCTGCCATTTGAGTGCTAGGAATCGAATCCAGGTCCTCTGCAAGAGCAGCCAGTGCTCTTAACCACTGAGCAATCTCTCCAGCCCCTTAATGAAATATTTATAAAAGCTTGATTGTTCAGTGTCTTCCAAATATTATTAAATCAGCTTTTGCATTTACTTGAAATATTTGCAAATATAGAAAGTACTTTCTTCAAGTTACTACTTTCTTTGTGGTGCTGGGGTTTAGACTGAGGACCTCATGACTGTCAGGCAAGTGCTCTACCGTTGGGCTGTGTACTCTGTCCCCTACATTATTATTTTTTTATGTAAATTTCTCTTCAGATTTTGCCCCTTCTATTTATTTAGTCAGCAATGTCTGAATATGTACTGACATTGCCTTTTGATTGGCAGCCCTTTTTACTATGGTATTAACATAAATCTATGGGTACAATTATTTTTTGGTGTTGATGGGATTTTGTTAATATTTACCTGTCTCTATCTCACAATTCACTGGACTCCTTCATTAGAGATTATTGTATGTATCATGTATGAATAAATTTCACAGTTACATTTGGTAACTATCAGGTTATCTGTTTTGGTCTTGGGTGTATGATATGTGGAATGTCACCCTGACATGGAGCTGTCCCTGTCATGTTTCTTTCAGCGTGGCTGACAGACAGAGTGCCTTAGAGGCTGAGGTTCGGACAGTGCAGGCCTCTCATAGAGATCTGGAAAACTTCATGAAGTGGCTTCAGGAGGCAGAAACCACGGCGAATGTGCTTGCGGATGCGTCTCAGAGGGAGAATGCTCTTCAGGACAGTGTCCTGGCCCGGGAGCTCAGACAGCAGATGCTGGTAAGTGTTCCTGGGAAGTCATGGACAGTGGTTTCTCCCTATTGAGTGCTTTACAGCCAGATTTACATACAAATTGATGATTGTTAAAAGAAGAGATTGTTCACTCACATATGAAATCCATACTTTTCTGTGAACAATTGGCTTCTGGGAATATGACCTACAAAACACTTTCATATTTAATATTAGGGTAAAACTTCACCTTGTTTTATGGGAGTAATAATTGTTTGCTTAGAGGTAGAGGCTCGGTGCTGTTTGTTTTCTGTCATTTTATGCCCTTGCACCATTCATGTTATTGAGTACTAAATTATAAGAACATTTCCTGTTAATATGAAGTTATTTCCCCATTCATTATAAATACCTAACATAAAAGCTGCAAAGGCCCCGTAGCATAATTTACAGCCGGGTACTAGGCTTTATGTCTAGCTTGATAACTGTTCTTGCATGTAAGTGTGAGGTTCACATCTTACTATGAAAGAAATGAGATAATACAAGATTTTTCCTTGAAACAAATTAATGAGAAATTTTATGAAACATATCCAAATCTTTCTTCCTACTCAAGGTGCTAACACTGCTGTGCCCTCAAATCCCCCTCACTTTTGGGGGATGGGGTATGAGAACTAACCTCTTTTTGGCAGCCTTCTCACTTCCAACTTAATTCAAAACTTATTTTAGTGGGACGTTTCCTTGTGTACCTCTGGTGTGCATCCAATTTCTTCATTATTCTGTGAATTGTTCACAAATACATAAATTCATCAGTTTGACAACTACTGTTTCTGACATCCCGGTGAACATATGTTCCACTGATTTTTTTTTTAAAAAAATGTTATCTATTATTTTTTATTTTATGTGTATGAGTGCATTCCCTGCATGTGTATAAGTACAACTGTGTTGTGCAATGCTGCGGAGGTCAGAAGAGGGTGTCAGATTCCCCTGGAACTAGAGTTATATCCATGTGGGTGCTGGGAACTGAACCCAGGTCCTCTGCAAGAGTAGACAGTGCTCTTCACTGTTAAGCCATCTCTCCAGCCCCACATGTTCCATTGTTATTTGATACACATTTTTACCCACTGTAGTCAGTCACATGATTCTTCAAGGACAGAGATTATATTCATGTTGTTTACACAGTGCTCCAGGTACAAATTCTGACTGCTTTCCCTTGACCCTGACTTGACCATTTTAGAATCCATTCTTAGAAACTCTTTTCCCTTGAAACATCTAAAAGATCATTTTGTAATATGTCAACAGATAAGTGGATCTGAATAAAAGATCTCTCTCTCTCTCTCTCTCTCTCTCTCTCTCTCTCTCTCTCTCTCTCAATCTCACTGTGTAGCCCCCACAGGCCTAGAACTCACTGTGTGAACCAGGCTGGCCTAGAACTTACACAGTTCCACCTGACTTCTTCTAAGTACCGGGAGGAAAGCTTTCTTTGAATTACTCATTTTTTAAAATTTTTAATTGAATTTTTATGTTTCATACATAAAATCATCTTTTTACCTCCTTCCCCTTTGGCACCTCCCATAGCTCCCCCTCAACTCCCCACACTGGAGTCATACGTTCTGTCATTTGTGCTCAGGTCTATTATGTAAAGTCAGTGTCCTCAGATGTCCCTCACTGCAAGTTCGTCCACCAGGGTTTAGTCAGCCTATCTAGTGTCTCTCCCTTCAAGAAGTTCAGTTCTTCCTCACCTAGCAGTAATCAGCTGCAATAATTCTTTGACTAAGATTGGGGCTTTGCTTGAACTACTCTTATTTTTACAATTTCTAAGTTTGGAAAAAAAATCTTCATTAAAGCCTCAAATGTGTTCTGTGGCACACAAGCACCGGGCCCCCTGATAAATGAAAACAAAACAAAACAACTCCCCCCCCCCAAGAATTTAACAGTATATATATTTTAAATAAACTTATTCGGAATGGGCTTATGTATATAACTCATCACTATGTATGAAGACTCTTACTGACTCACTAAGGAACTCAGGGACTGGGAAGAACGCTCAGTGGATAAAGTGCCTGCTCCGTAAGCATAAGGACCTGTGTTTGGATCCCAAATTCTCATGTACAAAGCTGAGTGTGGTGGTGACCTGTCTCTAACCTGAGCCCTGGGTGCAGGGGGTGTCAGAGATAGGCAGATCCTGTAGGCTCACTGAACAGCCAGTCTAACCAAATGGTGAGCTTCAGGTTCAGAGAGACTGAAATCTATAAACATCAGGTGGAGACTGATTAAGGAAGTCACAGGAGATTAACCTCTGACCTACACAGGTGCAGGAAACAGCAAGTGCATTTGTGCACATGCACAGGTATACACCATACCCCCCCCAACACACAGAGGTAGATACCACACACACACACACACACACACACACACACACACACAGGTGCACCCCCCAACACACACAGAGGCACCTCCAACAACCCACACAGGTGTACACCATACCCCTCTCTCCCCACAGGAAAAGCAAAAATCAAGGAAAAATCTGTTAGCTTGTAACTTATTTTTTATTCATCGCACACTCTCTTTGTGACTTGCAGCGCGTGTGATCAGGCAGGCTTCACCGTTAAGTGTGCTTTTCTGCCTCCCCTCTGGACTCTCAGGAGGTGACCATTAATGGTGATTGCTACAATATTTTGAGATCATCTGGATTTTAGGAGGTTACAGAAGGCACTCAATGATGACCTCTATTACTTTTTGTGATCTAAACCGTAAGCTTGATCTACACGTGTTCATGGACATTGAACTTATGTAATGCTGTTAATTTCAGTAGATATTTAGACTAAGCACTAGAGTAAGCAACAGTTTACAGGAGCAAAAAAGGCTTGAAATGAACCCCGATAATAACCACCAGCAACGAAAGACAGGCCTGTTGGAGACGCTAATAATATTTCTGACACATTTTCTCTTAGGGTATATTCTTACCATAGCTTCCGCTGTTCTCAATATTTAATGAATATTCAAGCCATGGGAGAAATAAATTTAAATAGAAATGGTAGGACTCTTTTAAATAAAAATAACTAAGCTCGGGATTACTTGTCTTGCTGCAAACAGCAACAAGGAAAAGGCTGCTGGTTAAAGTACTAAAATATAATGTTTTCAGTAATTGCGTCTCTAAAATAATTTAAAGCTGCTAAACCAGCCTGTTTGGGTTCTTATTAAGTAGGGCCTTTGCTGACAGCCAACTCAAATCTCCGTTTTTCTGAAGACAAACGCGTGTGTTTGTTTGTGGTGTAGGACATTTCACATCGTGGTGCTTTCTATGGTTTTCAGTTCCTGTCTCTTTAATAAATGCTCTTAATTTTGTAGCATCCCCTCTGTCTTACTTAAAAAAAAAAAAAAAAAAAAAAAAAACAACCAAAAAACTTTATTTTTGGTGCCTTAGAGGCAAATGGTTGTTAGAGACTTATTATTTTTGGTTGAGCATTTCTCAGACAAAAGAATTTCATTTTTCCCATGGGTTTGTTATTACTCTTGATGAGAAATTTCAAATGGAAACTTATTTGGGAACAGGAAGCTGTGCAGACAAACTGAGTAATTCACGAGCCCACTGAAATCATCAGACACATTTGCTGGTGGTGCTGGGTGCCTGTAATGCCTGTGCAAACCTGAATAAGACCTCAGTATATTTGTGCTGCAGGCACGGGTGTGTGCAGAAGCACTTAGATGATATGTGAACTGTTCTTATTTGATCCCTGTCTTGGGAAAAAAAGCACATGTCAGATCACAGGAGTGTTTCATGGAGATGTAGTTTATATTTTGTGTAGAGGAGCCTGGGTGGACTTTGATAAAGGAGTTTGGAAGCACAGTGGAATATGAAGGCCTTTCTAGGCATATGATGTGCTGCATCCCACTTTTGTTAAGGACCGATGGTCACTTGGGCCCATATATTTATGTTTCATTGTTCTGTCACAAGACTGGAAGGTTTTTCTCCCTAACAGAGGCCTTTGAGCAAGAGAGAACCTGAGCCTTTGGAGACTCATGGGAGAGAGAAGCTCCTAGAACACTACATGGAGGACCTTATGTGCCTGGTTGCATATTGTATGCTTACCCTGTTGGCACTGGGGATAGAGGGGGAGGAAGTCATAAAGGAATTAGGCAAGAGAGACTGCCATTGAGATTTCTGACTAAGAGGAATGTAGCTGATGACATCCTGAGAAATGGATCTGCACCATGTGACAGTCACAGCAGGGGGCCCCTAGGGTACTCTGGTAGCCTTGTATAAAGGCTAGTGATAAAGACTAGACATAGGCACTGATGATATCAGCGGAGCTAATGCCTTGATGGTAAGGGTGAGGGAGTGGTAAAGACAGGAAGATGGTAGGTGGTGGTTCAGTATGAGATTGGGAACAGAGGAAAAGAAAATGTCAGAACTGGGGTACATGCTTGGGTGGAGTGAGGGATGGCAAGTTCCAAGTTGATTATATTGGAGTGAGGCCTTTGACTAGCATTGGAGGGGAAGGTGCCTGGCTTCCAGTTGCTACTGTGTATCACACAGCTGGGAGAATTTGACCATTTATTATTTATTGCTTTGAAAGTAGAAGCTGATATTGACTTAAAAACTAACATATTAATTGATGCATTCATCTTAATTTCCATAGCCACACTCTAGGACATTCATATTATTTTAATTACATTTTAAATTTAAGATGTGCATTTTAGCAGTGCCAATTCATTGAGATGCTCTGATTCTTTCCTGGTAAAATTCTGAGGCGCCATGGCCTTTCTGGGGTGGTTGTGAGACTGGGTGGTTGGTTCTGCTCTGAAACAGTTTGTGTTTTGGAATCTTTATGTTTTTATCTCCTGTGCTTGCATTTAGTTTTCCTCCTCATATTTCACAGGACAGGGCTTGGCAGATCATTCAGTCCTTCACTCGCTGGCTCTGTGTGGGGATTAACAGTTATAGGAGTTGACTAATACTGTATAATTATATATTTATATTTCCGACTAATCCCAAAGCCTGAAATCCAGATGCTTTAAAACCCCTAAATTGAATGCTGAAGTGATGCCACAGC